CGGCACATTATGGCAGATTATTAGGAAAACGGGTGGAAAATGCCGGCCAGAGGAGGAAGGGGGAGGAAAAGCGTGGAGTGGTGCTGCCTGGTGACCCTTGACCCGAACAGCGAGTGTGCGTGTGTACGTGTGTGTGTGTGTGTGTGTGTGTTGGTGTCGATTAAAACATATCCCATTGCTGACAAATGCAAATCAAGCAGCAGAATCCACAACGACTAGTTGGCCATGTAAATGAGCCTTAACCCCCGTGACCCTAACCCCGTGACCTCTCTGCAGCGGCGCAACCCTTTGCCCAAAAACCAGATAAAAACCCCAAGCCACAGCAGAAGCGCAAACCCTAAAACCCGAAAACCCCTAAACGCATGTGGCAAATCTTTGCTGAAACACTTAACAAGAGACTTGGCCCAGACAGAGACACAGCGAGCGAGGGAGAGGGAGAGAGAGCAACCCCTTTTGGAATTGGGATGGTGGCAAGTAAGGGGCTAAACCCGTCGTCTGACATGACACATGAGTAAGTGATAGCCGCTCTCTAACCGGGTTATGTCCTGACTGGGCGGGCGGACTGCCTGCCTGCCTGCCTGCCTGCCTGCCTGCTTGACTGTTCGACTGGCTGAACTGGTTGTTAGATGTCCCCTTTGCTGACGATGGGTTGGCCAAAGAGGTCAAGGGTGTGCGTTGATAAAGCTCACACATGCCACACAGGACACACAGGACACGACAGGCGTGCGGCATGCGGGCAGCCCTTGCTTTTTGGATTGCGGATTGCGGATTCAGTTTGAATTTGAGTTTTCCTATTTCCATTTACCATTTACCATTTCCCATTTGTTGTTGTTCTGCCTGTCAACATTTCCACGCTGTTACATCGAATGTGTGTGTGTGTGTGGACAGAATTCTATTCGTAGTTCGCGCGACAAGTTGTCTGTGGCACAAAACGCTTTTCATTCATTCTCGGGGTAGAAAATGATGAAAATTTCCATATTATCGAAGTTCAAATGGCACTAGAAAGGGCACAGAGGGGGGGAAGAGGAAGATGTGTGGTGTGTGGTGTGTGTGTGATAATTTGTTGATTTGGGCCCAAGCCGGAGCCACTTGTTGCATGCATCCATCCCCCCCCCCCCCCCAACAGGCGCAACAATGGCAACGAGTCTGCCAGCGACGGACATGGGATACCCGCAGGGGGCTGAACTGTGACCGAAGGAGGGGAGAGGTGTGCCGTCTGGGGTGGTGGGGGAGGGTTTTCATGTGTATTTTGATGCCGGACGTCAAGGCCATGCCGCAAGACGCTGCTCGGGGTGTCCGTCTGCTGCTGCTGTCCGCGTCCGTCTGCTGCTGTGTCCTGTCTGTCTGTGTCTGGGTGAGTGTGTTAATGTATTCATTGCCACGCCGCATGCCGCATGCCGGATGCCGGAAGTAGTAGTCAGCAAGCCATAAAAACTTAAGGAACACATACGAGCCGAGACGAGACGTGTGGCATCGACGGACACGGGGAAAAGAGAGCCACAGCCAAGGCAAGACGACAAGTGGCAGGGAGACGACGTCCTTTGGATCAGGAAGGAGCTACTGCCACTGCCACTGCCACTGCCACTTGCCACTTGCCACAGGAGCATATACATATGTGTGTGTTTTTTTCTTGTTCTTTTTTGTTTGGGCATCGCGTTGACTCCACATATGCTCTCGTGTGACACACAGACAATGTCAGTGTGTGTGTGTGTGTGTGGCAAGCGCAGGACGTTCGTTCGTTGGTACATATTTTTATTTTCTTTTTCGGGCTAGCTTCAGGGGTGGCAGCAGAAAGCAGGAAGACGGTGGCATGGGGACGGGGTGTGACTTTCGCAGTTTGAGGCTCCATTCCTTACCCTTACCCCCGCACTTGCCACCCCCTCGACCACTCTCCTTGTGCTCTCTCTGTGTGCTGCTGATTTTTGTTCTGTTTTTTTTTTTTTTTTTTTTTTTTTTTTTTTTTTTTTGGCAGGACGAAGTGAAAGTGAGCCACATGCCAGGACGACAGCGACAACGTCGACAAGGACTTTACTTGTTTGGTCAATTGCCATGTGTGTGTGTGTGGGGTGTGGGGTGTGGGGGGTAGTGGCTGTGTGTGGGCGGACGATTGAGACGACCTTGGCCTTACTTTCGCCTTTTGTCGTTGTCTCTGGGCTGCGTGCGTGTGCTTGGGCACTGTCTGCTGCTGCTCCCTGCTGCTCCTTTCGGCTGCTTGCTCTTGTAATTTTATGCGGATTATCACTGCACACACACACAGAGCAGAGCTGAGCGGAGCGGAGCAGAGCAGAGTGAAGATGAGACGCGTGTGTTTGTCAGACAGGTAGCCCCCCTGCCTCCATCTGCCGCCCAAGATGTTGCAAGGTCAAGTCGCGTCGAGTCGAGTCGAGTCAACTTTGGTTGCCAGGCAAGGCCGTGACTGCAGAGCAGTCAGTCCGTGGCACTGCGGGAGGGGGGTGGGCTCGGTGGGCTCGGTGGGCTGGGTGGCTGGCAAAGCCGGAAGTTAAAAGTCCGTGGCAGCAGCGCTCAAAAAAAAGAAGCAAAAACAACAACGACAAACACTTGAGAGTCGGCCACGGACAGACTGGATTTTAATTTCAATGCTTGGTCCCGGTCCCGGTCCAGGTCCTGGTCCTCGTCCTGTCTGCCTCTGAGCAGTGGGCCAGGGGGTGGGGTTGTGCTTCGTGTGTCCGTGCCTCGTGCCGTGGCATTGTCTGTGTCTGCGTCTGTGTCTCTGTCTACGTCTCCAGCTGCTGCTGTTTGTCGACACAAACTCCTTCGCGGTGGCCACGCAACGTCCTTGGCACCCACTCGAAGGAGCAGACGAAGGAGGCAGCATGCGGGCTTGCCAGGGAGCGAGTGCACACTTTTCTCTAGGTCACACAGACACCTGTTGCAGGTCCGAAGGCTCTCTCTCTCTCTCTCTCTCCCTCTCTATGTCTGAGACGAGTCAGCTGTGTGCCGATGATGGCAGGGCGACTGCAGAGCCTTAATCCTTGCCACCTGCCGTCTCTGTGTGTGGGGCACGGGGGCATCATTAATTAATGGCTTTATGTGCCAGGCACCAGGCACCAGGCACTCGATGCCATTGTCAATAGCAATTATGCCACCGTTTGTTGCATGCAATGAAATGGGAAGCAAATCATTTCTGGCTGGCAGCCGGGCAGGCTCTCATGTGTTTTGATATTTTATTGAAAAACTTTGCGACTCTCGAAGTGCAGGACATGGAAATGCAATAAAGCAGGTAGGCAGGTACCCCGTCCCCCTCTTCCGCCCTGCTGATTATTTGAGAGAGCCCCCCAACTGGCAGGACTGTCCCGCGTGTCCCGCGTGTCCCGCGTGTGGCAAGGCTAAACTTTGCCACGAAATTACAAGCTCAAATGCGCCGCAGGGGGGAGAGCAGGAGCTGCAGCAACACGCGAAATGGGAAAAAGGAGCAAAGCAAATGAGAAATGGCAGGCCATGGCAGCGGGCTCTCAAACAATGGCAAACAAAAAAAAAACAAACAACAAAAATTTATATAAAAATAAAACTATCAAAAAACTGACTTTTCTACAATTTACACACATGCACGGGTGTGTGTGTGTGTGTGTGTGTGTGGATAAAACAAAAGGCAATTGCAAGGATACAGCAGATACAACACATAAAAAAATTTATAATTATTTTAATACAAAAAGCGGCAAATAAAAAGCGACAACAAAAGCGAAAATTGCATTAACAATGCAGCGATGGCTCAAAATCCCTTCGTAACTCCACCCACACCACCCACTAACCACCCCCCCCCCCCCCCCACTCGTAATGGTATGAAAAATATGTATCCCCACATATATGCACATGAAATGTAACAAGAGAGCGCAGAAGAGCCAGCGAGAGAGAAGCGTACAAAAAGAATACCGCGGCCAAATGATATTATAATTATATTTAAAATGCTGCCACGCCCCTCGCCCGCTCTCTCCATCCCTGGGAGTAGACGGAGTACAAAAAATATTACTAACAATTTTTGTGCAACAAAATGAGAAAACACTTTAAATTTTCGGTGTAGCATAGACACGGGCACAAAGCAAGAAAAAGAAATGATAAATGATGGAAAGTGGAAGGTGGCAGCTGCAAGCCGCTGTTGGAATGCTCTAACCAGAGCTCAGAGCTCAGAGCTCAGAGTTCCTGCAGTTTGAGTGCAGCAGTTGTGGGGCAGCCTGCGGCGGTGAAGGGTATTTAAGTGGATGACAACCAAATGAGATGTGCGCCTTGCTCTGCCCTGTTGGCGCTGCTAACCTTGTGGCAAGCGCGACAAAAAAATGCAAATGATGCATCAAAACAGTGGCAGCAAGAACAGCAGCCAGTGGCAAGTGACAGTAGCAGGAAGCAAAGCCAATTGTATGGTTAACAAGCGAATAAATTTTGAAGCGCTTCGCGAATATCACGTATACGCCCCATGTCCCCATGCAAGTGTCTGCCTGCCGCAGTGCAGCCAAACAAACGTTTAGACGAATGTTTTCCCTCTCTCTCTCTCTCTCGACTGGCCAAGAGCCAAAAAACTGCAACGCTAACTATAATTTTGCACAGGTTACGGCTGTTGCTGCTGCCATTTTAATTTCATTTGGCCCTACCCTGCCAGCACTGCTGGTGGTGTGGCGGCAAAGCTGCACTCTGGCCACTGCCACACATTCGCTTGGTGCTCTGGAGCAGCTCCACTTCGTAGTCGGCTTCACTTTGGTGCCTTTTGCTTGCTTTTTGTAATTTATGTGTTTATTATTTTTATTACAAGTCGCATTTAGTTGGCCCCGACAAAAAACAAACAAACACAGAGGCTATCATGCATTTATCGCCCCCCCCGCTATGTGCACATTTTTGTTGGGTTTTCCTTTTCTGTTTTGGTATTTAGACGAAAAACCCAATCGCATGCCTAACTGACTCTGCCATGGACAATATGTGCAGCAATTCATTTGTTTTGTAGTATTCCATTTCGATTTATTACTAAATGCAATTGTTTGGTTTTCGTGCAGGTGCCGCAGCAGCCGCAGGCGATGGACGAGAGAGATTATGGAGACGATGTGCCGCTGTAACTCTTCGCTTCTTAGCAGGTATGTGTGTTGGCAGGTCTGTTCTACGCGCTTATCATAGATCGTTGGGGGTCACGGCCACTCGCTCCACGATAACACTTTAACTTTAGGCTGCGGCATTCGTGGCCAAGGCCACTGAGAGGTTATCCCCAGCTGGCTCCAACGTCTAGCCCACTCGTCTTATCAAGCGTGGAACTGCAAATATTAGCCTTCAACTGCTGGCGACAGCTTTCCCATTCCTTTCCTTTCTCTTCACTATATAATTGTGTGTGATATTTAGAAGTTTTTAGCAACTATCTGGCTGGTTCGTGTCTCAGTTCTTTGATGTCCAAGTGTGCTCTGGATATGGGATGTTCATTTACAGAACTTTGAAGCATCTTTGCTGCCCCCTTCTGTCCCGAAGCAGTTACCGCACATTGCCAATCCTTTTATGGTTACATGTATGTATGTTACACATCCTTCTCATCTATCATTCCTTCGCCCTCTCGCTCCTACCTCTCTCCTGCCCTCCTTCGTGCTGTAAAATGTTGTGTCTAAAGGCAAAAGCAAGACACAAAAAAGTACAGAAAAATCAAAATGAATATGGGGAGCTGTGGATGGAGCTGGCGGGAAAAGGGAAGTGTGCATCTGGTGCTTGTAGGGCTGTGGGACAACCTCGCTCACAACAACCGTTCAATCAACACCCCATTTGACTAACAACAACAACAACAGGCCAAGGCAGTGGCAGTGGCAGTGGCAGCTTCAGGACTAGAAGACGATGAGGATGATGATGCCTGCACGAAGGAGCGAAGAGGAGCAGGCTCCAGGCTCCAGGCACAGGCACACACACACACACAGAGAGACTTACACACACTCACCCACACGCACAAACACTATTCTAACGTTTCGCGCGGGTAGCTATAAAAATATTTTTTAACATTTCTCGCGCGCGAAACATTTTCTTTCTTTCGGGCTTTTCGTTTTTCTCTTTCGGGTTTTTCTCTCTCTCGCTCTCTCTCTCGCTCTCTCGCTCTCTGTCTGTCTTTGGCGTCTGGGCTCTAACCCTGGCCCTGTCCTTGCCCTTGCATCCTACACCCCCGCCGCAACTTGTACCCTTGCCCCAGCCCGCTGGCGTTCAGGAATGCCTCTCGTTTGGCCAAAACTGTTAGAGCTGCGAAAGTTTGCGTCTGTTTGTCTTCACAGCGCGAGATGCGATGCGGCTTGAAGGATGGCTGAGTGGTGAAGGGTGAGGGCTGCTGCTGCTGCTGCTTTTTGCTGCTTCCTCTGGCAGCATAATGAGAGGCGCTGCTGCTGTCTCTCTCTCTCTCTCTCTCTCCGTTGCGCCCAAAAAGTACACAGAAAGAAGGAAAGAAAGAAAGAAAGAAAAAAAGAGATGGAAAGAGCGACGGAGGAGCAACAAAAAATAATAATAATAATAATAATAATAATGAAAAGTTTTATGCATAGAAAGAGCAGGCAAAAAATATTGCCAAAAAACGCTGAGCGCCGAAGTGGGAGGAGAAGGGAGAAGGGAGGAGAAGAAAGGGAAAAGGACTGGCAAAGACACAGATAGACAGAGGGGGCGAAAGGAGCAGTAGATGGTAGTGGGTGTGGGTGTGGGTGTTCGGGGGGGGGGGCAGGCAATGTATTTGAATCTAAACTGAAAAATATAGAAGCGGAGGTCCTCGGGTGGCGAGTCCTTTGCCTGGCTTCGCTGCACATTAACTCGTCGCTGCCTGCCCCGTGCCCCGTGCCCCGTGCCCCACCGACGGCATATTTGCCTGCCCCCTACAGCAAGCGCTCCCCGCGCTCAACATAAAGAAAGTTGTAACTATGAAAATTTTATAAATTCCGCAGATTTTCTGGCGCTAAGAAAGCCGAGCACCGAGCCCCGAGCTGAGGCAGGGGGCATGCTACGTTGGTTTGTTGTCGGTTGTCGGTCGCTTTGGGACGGTCCTCAGCTGATGGGAAGAGCAGGGGCAGAGGCAGAGGCAGAGAGGCGGTGGGTGTTGGGTGTTGGGTGGGGTTACACGGCCTGCCTTTGATAATGTGAGCGTTGGCATTTGAGCTGGAGTCGAGTCTCCAGTCGTCTCCAGTTCTCTGCCCTTCAATAGTTTGAAAAGTTTCGCAGCATGCAGGCACGCAGGCAGGAAGGGGGAATGTGATGAAGGAATGGGCCACTCGAGAGGCGTTGCTTTGATGGAATGGCCAATGCGCCGCATAGAAGTCGTAATATTTGGCAACAAAACAGTTCTAGTCCGCACAACGGAACGAAACGGAAAGAAGCCAAATGGATTGGAGCAAAGTCTTATCCGAAATATGCTAGAAAACTAACCCAGAAGCTGCCACTAAAATGGAATGGAATGGAATGGAACTACTTCTAAGTGGAAAGAACACGCTTTCTGGCGCACTTTTCCGACTGGTCGTCGGAGTTCGAGTTGCTTTGATTAAATCAGTCAAAATGCTCACTTTCCGCCCACAGCCAAAGCAGCGGTGGCTGCGGTCTGCGGGGTGGGGTGTTGGGGGGTTAAACAACAAATTCAAATTCAATGAAAGTTAATAAGGATGTCTGGCAGTGGCTCAGGCTCAGGCTCAGGCTGTGGCTCTGGCTCTGGCTATGGCTGTGGCGCTTCTTTAGCAGCCGATTGAATTATTTAATAAATTAATTGCGCAAATGAAGTTCCTCGAGTCGACTTTGCTCGGCCACGCCCACATCCCATCTGCGGCTGCTAAAGCAATTAGGCGTCAGAGTTGCTTCTGCTCGTCTGTTTGTGGTCGGTGTGCCCGAGGCCTGGCTGTCCCACTCCTCTGATATCGATGCAAGATGATCGATTGGGTGCTGGAGCATCAACCCCTAATCTGCATCGAGCGGAACTTTAAAAACTAAAACAATGTTCAGCCTTCTCTCTATGCTTCCTTTGCACAAAACCAAACCCAACCCAATCCCAACCCCAACCCCAACCCCTTATCCACCTTCAGCTACCGCTTTCAGTTTCCCATTCAATGGCAGAATAAAAAGAAAAGAAATCGATCGATAATTTTTAATGTAGTCGTATTTCTTTTTAAGCACTCGCTTGTACCTTTTTGGCTGCTGCTGCTGCTGCTGCTGCCTGTCGCCTCAAGTTTTTACCCTCCCCCACACCACCCAACCCAACCCAAGCTACTCCCACTACTCCCACTACTCCCCCCCGCGTGCCATCATTGCTCCCTCCCTTTCCTTTTGTATGTGTGTGTGTGTGCGCCGCTGCTTCGTTTTTTAATATTTACCCAATTCATCAAAAAATAAGTAATTATAAACTTTTCAGTTTTTCTTCTGCCTTGCGTCTTGCGTCTATATGCTCTATCCCACTCACGCCAGGCACTCCATCTCGCTCACTCCCTGTCGCTATGTGAGCATTTCCCTTTTACAAAACGCTTTCCTTGCCCTTTTCTGACTGCTTCGATGTGCCTGCCGCTCACCGCTCACCGCTCCCCACTCCCCGCAGCAACATCCACACCACACCCCACCCCACCCCATCCCCTTGCATTCGGGGGTTCGCGCAAAGTAGAAAAAAATTGGAAACAACCCCGAAAAAAGAAAGTTTTTGTTGTATAAGCGAAAAACTAAGCTTCTATTCAAATTCTACGCCATCGAGTGCTTCGTTTTTATTATTCATTCATTCTCGTTCTCATCTCTCTCTCGCTCTCGCTCTCTCTCTCTCTCTCTCTCTCTCTCGCTCTTGGCTCGTCTGTTGTTGTATTTTTGGCACAAGCAAAACGAAAGCACAAGGAAAAATGGGAAAAAAGTAAAAAGATGAAAAATGTAAAGAAAGAGGAAAGTTTCCGATTACAGTGGGAGGTTTACTGCTGCTGCTGCTGGTGGGAGTGGTGCGAGTGGTGCGAGTGGTGCGAGTGGGGGCCCACTGTATTGTAGGCTCGGCACAAAGCCAAACACTAGTCCTCAAGCTGCACAACCCTCCCTCTGGTTAGCAGCAGCGCACTGCTCTGGGGTGGCGATACACGCGCGTCTTTTGAGCATAAGTAGAATATAAAAATTTTGCGATTATGAATTTGAATAAAAACGATACGAAGCACGCAGTCGAGACGCTGTCGAAGTCGAAGTCGAAGTCGTCGTTGCCGTCGCCGTCGCCGTCGCAGTCACTGTTGACGCAGCTGCTTAACAATGTAGTTGTTGCTGTTGTTGCTGTTGCTGTTGCTGGTGCTCCCTCCCCCACCCGTGCTGCCAGGCTGGCATGTTCCTTGGGTGGATTAGAAGATGCTGCTACACCCACTCGAAGCTGTAGTTGTAGTTGCCAACGAAAGGTCCTTGCTGGCTGTGTGTCTGTCTCTCTGTTGCGACTTTCTTTTCTTTTTCGTACATTACATTTTTCATTTACTCCTGCCTGCCGCCGCCAGCACAGAAACTGTCTCCTGCCGCTTAAATCACGGAGGGAAGAAGCATCGACGATCACAGAAGCTATGTTGCTGCCACACAGCCTCTGCCCCTGCCCCAGTCTCAGTCTCAGCTTGGGCATAATAATAACACAATCAATAATAAGAGAATAAGCGGGAGGGAGGAGCAGCGAGAGGCACAAGAGACAGCGCTGAAGGAGCGCTGGAAAAATGTGAAATAGTAGTAAATAGAGGATTGCTGTATTAGAGGCTTCTGCCACGGCGATGTGTGCGTCGTCGGTGGCACAAAGGAGTGGAAGGAGGCAGGAGGCAAGACAAGAAGATGGCGGAGTCGACGACGCTGGCAAATGTTTAAGCTAAGGATTAATATTTCTGCTCCGTTTTTTTCTTCCTGTTTTTTTTTTTTTTCTTTTTTAGAATTTTGTACTTACATGGCTGTGCCAGTAGCACCCAACCCCAAGCCCAAGCACTTTCGTTTCCCTTTCTAAGAGATTGTGTATGTGTGTGTTTAAGTATTAAAAAGAGGCAGCAACTTGGTAGGGGCAGGGGCAGATGTAGCAGAAATCTTTGTAAGCAGTTTTCACTTCTGGAAATTTCTTTTTCGCCGCCAACGCAAGTGGGTGTGGGAGTGGGAGTGGGAGTGGGTGACT